AAAAAAAAAAAAAAAAAACAGATATGGAAACTGGACAGGTCGTTGGTTCCAGAACGCCGCGCATCCAACAAGTTGCCCTCCCGTGCCAACCTCAGAAACATTCTAGCCGCAGTCCTTGTGCTTTGGGTGGGCGGCAGCATTCGCATGAGCTCATTCGCTGCATCGTTCAGGCGGTATAGTTCTGGCCTTGCAGATCTCTTCAGGCAGTGTTACACAAGGGCGCGAAATCTCCTTCACAGCCCAGGTGTATGCTGGAGACCCTGCCCATCGGGTTCAGATCGCAATTGAGACAACGCACGCGCCAACTGCATAGCAACATCCTTGGCTCACAGATGCGCCAGGCCAGGGGGGCTCCAATGAAAATCCCAAAAACATTATCATCCTTGTTCTGAGCTGACTATAATGCCTGTACAACCCGGTATACCTTGTACGGGGACCCCGACTTTCTGGAAACCACGGTATGATTCTGGGCTTGGCTCCCAAATATTTGGAAGCCAGCATTACTTGCCAAAGCCAAGCCACAACGTGGCTTGGAACGTCTTTCTGACAACCTTGGCAGACAAAATTAGCTCAAACGGAAAGCAAGTTTTCTTGCGTGCTACCTCAATCTGAAAGATGTTGCTGGGCATTTAGTTAGCACAGGGTGTTGATACTTAGGAGTTAAGTGCCAGAGTTGAACTCCCATATCTTTCAGCCTGAAGGCAAACAGCCTAGATTTCAGCCTGGGGTCTGGGACCCAGTCTGGGATGCACCCTACCGGAATCCTGAGTCTCTATCCAAATCCCTGGCAGCTGAAGGACCAACGAATGGAAGATCATGGAATCATGATCCTGGCTAAAACAGCCAAAAGGTATTAAGGCCAGGACCGCTGGCATGATCGGAGGACCAAACTAACAAAGGCTAAAGCAACATACAGGTGGAGAACACCTGCCACTTGCAAAATCTCGTCTAAATGTGCCGGGAAGCCAGCTTGCAGCTGTCCATTTCTTTTCGACAGCTGCAGGCGCCAGCGCTCTAAGTCAGTTTGGCATCGCGGCGCCATGTCTTGAGTCAGAAGTGCTGGATGTCCGGATACACATACAATTTAGATCACGTTTCCCAATGCCCCAGCGTGCCATGTGTACCAATATGGCATGATGTGGCTGTGTTCGGATTGTCGCCCCAATCTCTCTAGTTTCAGTTTTTTTGCCCGGACTTAGTCTTCGAAACCCTGGCTGCGAACTTACGTTGCTTACAACAACAAGGATTGCAGAGGGTTTGTGGCTACGAGGGTTTGTTGCGAAGGGGCGCCCAAAAGCCCTTTTGTGAGCCCAACGCTGCCTGGATGCAGCCATATGTAGGTGATGCATCGGAACACTCAAGGTGCTGCTAGAGGGTGCTATTCTACTCTGCGATTCGGCGGAGCGGGCGTCTGAACCATGTATTTTCGTTAATGCGTTTCTACGCCTTGCTTGTGCCCGACTCTGAGTTGCCTGCTTCACGTTGAGCTGTGGCAGCACTGCTTTCTGCGCAAGAGACTTTGCGGGCGTTTTCACAGCAGCTGCTCACTGCCAGCCCAAGCATCTGGAGGCACCGTGGAGAGCCAGGCCTTGAGCTGTGACCCTCACCATCAAGAACTGTTGGTTCGTTGGTGTTCCGAGCCACGGACGGCAGCTCTAGCGTTCAGCTCCTGATCACGCAACAAGCCCCCGCATTTAGGCATCAAAGCTTAAGCCCACACGTGGCCTTCAACCACATCTGCCTGAGAGCTGCGTCGGAAGGCGAGAAGATGTGCAGGTCCGCAAGGGCCTCCGGAAAATGCTGGTTAGAATGGCATTTACATTTCCCTGTCAGAAGCACATTGCGCCACTTACTTAATCGAGTGCAGCACATCAAGAACTGGAGTCCAGCATCTCGAATATTCGTGGATATGCAGGGAAGTGGGCATATCATGAGGGCTTCTATAATGAGCATGCGCCTGTTGGCACTTTGGCTCCTCCCCATAAGCCTTTTGGGGCTCCTGAGCCACTGAAAGAGTCATTAACCATATGCCCCTAATTACTCAGCATTGCGTCCTGCTGCGGTGGAGGTGGCGGCTCCACGCGTGAGCTGGTCGCACCCTGAGCCTGCAGAAAATAGGAGCGAGTTGTCGAAGGCTTGACGTGCCGGAGTCTTTTCGAAACTTGTACTACTTACTACTATGCGGCCTTTATTATCCTATTCACTGTGGCTACAAGTTCAGTTCCGTTATCAAGCCCTGAGACCTTGACTTTTTTGCCCGTCATCTCACACCAGCACGGGAACAGGGCTTGGGCAACACAGATGAAAAGATTGAAAAGGCTCCCTCTGCAGCCCTGACAAAACCTCGGTTTCACCACGTCATCAGTTCCAAATTTTCCGATGCTCAAGAACAGCCCTACAGTACCTTGTTACTGCCAATATGACTGCTTCACGTTAGTTGCAATGCTGCAGTTACACCACGTGGGACACGGCCTTCCTATCCAGATCTCGATCAGCAGAAATGTCGAAGAAGTAGCTGGCAGCCAGAGCTTCATTAGGGGTTTACTGATCCACTTTAAGGTTTTGAGTTTAGGATAGTTGGGAAAGCACCTTCGAAATTTGTACGTGTCTGAACTCAATGCACGATGACGAAGCTTACAAATGTTTTTGCGTTTTAGGTATAGGCTTCTGGGAGGTTCACTATGTTTAAGAGCGGGATAACCAACTACTAGGACCATACATGAGGGGAGCATCTGAGTGTCAGTCATGACCAAAGCCGCAATGTTGAAACTGTGCGGAAGGCGCGGCAATCAACAACAGCAGGGTTCGGTCTGGCTTCAACGCTGGCTGAACCCAGCCCGATTGCACTCATAATGTACGCGATTGGGTGAAACCTTTTGGAGAGAGTCATTGCTTGAGCGGCTACCCTGGAATGCAAATGTGTGGATGGGGCCTTTGCTTGAGACGGGCAAATGATTTGAACTTCACAGAGGTCCCAGCCTTTACAATAGTGCAGAAGTACGCGGGAGATGTCAAGCTACTCAAAACTAGAGGACTCCGCACTCATGTCTGATGTTTTTCGGCCACCTTCCCCATGACTCTGCCAAAAACTCACTGGCCTGATGCCCAAACACAAAAGCATTGAAAACAGAACCCCCCCCCCAGTGCCTCTCCACAGCATTGGCTGAGTATTTGGATTGCAGTGCCCCGCCTGCTTTGCTCATTCGGCTTGTGCTCCTGGTCGAGCGTTGGCCATAGAGGGACAGCCTGCCCATTGCCCTAGTTGCCCACCGCTCCCTGAAGCCCCCCAGTGCGGATGCCTGAGGTGTCGTCAAAGCAGGCTTCACGTGCTGGGCAGGCTCTTGCACGAAACCTCGGATGCAATTGCGGATATGTTCGACGTCTCATGCTGTACTTTCTACACAACCAGGCGACTTGGTGCCGCCGAGCTGGCCTGGCAACAACATGTCTGCCGGGAACTACAAAAAAAACACAAGCCCTCTTTCATCGCGCCATGCATCTTTTTTGGCTGCACACTTCCCCTTCCACCTCACAAGTCACTAAATTTGCCGTCTAGACCTCTTGCTGGAAGCCGAAGCAATCGATCTCCTGCATGCTGGCCTCATGAGCTCGCGCACTGCCATTGTTAGAATGCCAACACCCATGCCCGAGGCCAGAGCTGGCGTTGCCTCTTCTGAGATCTGCCAAAAGAACTTGCAACTTCGCCCCGCTTCAAACATGTGACAAATTAACCACGTTTTAAGCAAAGCATGCTGCCTTCCTCCGCTGTTCGCGCATTTCACGCAGTCTGTGCCTGGTATTAATGTGTTTCAAAGTTGGCATGACTAGACCCAAAACAGATGCCGTTTTGGAAATATGAAAACAAAAAATCATGGACTTGATTGCACTGGTAGCTTACCTTCGTTAAAACTGGTCCCTGCAAGCCGCAACTATCAATAACAATACAACACAACTTTTCGGGCTAATTAGGCTAACTCCATGCCAAATAAGATGCTGTAGCCGCTTTCGGTGGGTCTCTGACCACAAATGAGATTCTTGCATCTCACGCCGACAGAGGAGACAGTATGCCACGTTGTTCACCACCGTTGCGAACTTGCAGTCATCCGGCGGGACGTGTGCCAAGGGATCCTGAGTTCTCCCGAGCCTCTGATTATATGGAGTTCCGAAAATTGGGGGGGGTCCCTTTTTGTGGGTCCCAAAAGTCAAGATTCCAGTATTTGGGGATCTATATGGGAGTACCTACGGCATGGAAAAGGCAAACTTTCTTTTGAGTCTGGGGATTATATCAGGGCTACTCAAGGATTTGTTTTCACAAGCAAGACAGAAGCACGTTGCCAGCCCAAGCTTGAAAAAAGAAATCAAAAAAACAAAGGGTGTTGTGGACAACGCCTCAAAGCACTTCTCCCCAGTTTGGCCCCCTCAGCTCCTGTTTGGAGGCTCCGCGCAAGCCACGTGAGGGCCCCAAGCAAACCCATGCCACTTGCCCCTCTTCTCCCCAGTTTGGCCCCCAACTCCTGTTTGGAACCTCCACACAAGCCACGTGAGGGCCGCAAAGCAAACCCACGCCGCGTGCCCCACTTCCCCCCAGTTTGGCCCCCACAAGCCACGTGAGGGCCCCAAGCAAGCCCATGCCACTTGCCCCACTGGTGCTAGCCCCAATTTTCTTCAATTTCCCCCTCAACTCTTGTTTGGAGGCCCCACCGACCCACTTGCTCCCCTTGACCCTTGCTCCACTTCTCCAATTTTGGCCCCGTCAACTCTTGCAGCAGGAGTGGGCTCCACACAAGCGCACTTGCCCCACTTGGCCCACTTGCCTATAGCAGGGTTTTCTGAATGTTGTGGGCACATGCTGCCAAGCAGCCTCCATCACAGCCAAATTTCTCAACCGAGACTGGTGAGTCTGGCTGCGGATGTGCTCACGAGCTTGGTCAAGAGTGGGGGTCTTCCCGCACAATCGACAGAAACAGGAATATGTTTCAGGTATGAGCACCTCGGAGAATCCGATTGACACACAAACTTATTGGCAATGAACTTTCAAAAAAATAACTCTGCGCATTCAGGCTAGATACCATGTGGTGCTGTTCTAACTCATCCACGGGAAGATGGTGCGTCCACACCTGCAGCGCGAAGTCCGAGGAGTCCATCATCGCGAAGGAGCTCAAAGGCTCTCGACGGCTTTAGTGCTTTAGGCTTGCGCGGCCACTACGGCGTTCTCACCAAGCCCATGCGCTACCTCTGAAAGCTCAGTGCCCCAAGTCCAGACCCAAACATTGGTGAAAAAACCAACCAAACCAACAGAGGACACGGGACACGTCACGAGGGTCTGTGCTGCCAGATTTACGCAGTTGTGCTTCCCTAGTTTGCCAAAGTCCTCTCAGAGCTGTAGCAACAAATGAAATCTCAACATGCTCCCCCAACTGCAACTGATTGTGTTCAAATACGCTCCAAGCCATACTTACCCTGCATCCCTTGGCTGCAAATCAAACACACCGGCCTCTCAATTCAGCGTGTCCAGCTGAAGATCCAAAGCAATATAAAGCAATATTATGCAAGTGGTCATTATCCGGGACTCCGCAGTCTGCATGTGCAGAAGCCCAAACATCATGGAAGAAACCGCTGGCAAAATGAGCTGCTCAAGAGGGCATTTTCCGCACTGCACATTCGCCATGCGCATCCTGCTAGCCCCTCAGCCCACGTTAGTAGCGAGAAGCTTGCAAGCTAAGCTGGAGTGCTTTGCCTCCAATAAACAGTAGTACAGTAGCCTATAAGTTGCGCAAGTGCGCACCCTTTCGGCTCAGCAGCTTTCAGACTTGACAACCAGCTGCTGCATTGCTTTGAGTCTGACTGCAAAACTGCAAAACTTCTTTCTGGCGCACGAAAACGCTCAGCAGCTATCTTCTTTGGACGAAGCTGCTCTGTCATTTACATCAAGGCTCAGGAGGGCAAGACCCACAACCTTCTAGGTTGTAACATGAGAGGCTTCCATCTGCTGAGTTTTGCCAGGGCCCGAACAGCGCAGCCTGCACAGGCGGAATGGCCTCCACTCATTTGCAGGTACAAGGCCAGAGTTCCAAGCAAACGCAACTGCACCTAGTTTAAGACTCCGGCTGCAAGAGCTGCCGCAAAACCGCTTGCCAAGACAAAGCAGAGCGCACCTGGAGAGATGCGCATCTCACAGCACTACACAGACGCTACTGTGCCATGGGCATCTAGAGCATCACATGTACTCAGCGGCCGAGTCACAGTAAGGTACAGCATACTCATCCCACGAGGCCAGTGTCACAGTTCCAAGCACGTGCGACCTGAGCGAATTGATGGCTAGGACATCTATACTCCTCTGCCTCCGCGCATGCCTGAGACTGCGCTCGCGCCGCCACATTTGTCCGGCTTAGGCCGCCACACTGCTCCAATGGCTAGGCCGCGCTCTCTTGAGCCATCCACCTCGAGATAGCCTTGGCGTGAGCTTTGCATGAAATCTATGGCTACTAACACAACTGAGCATTGTTTTTCCTTAAAAAAAGTTTCTTATACTAACATGGAGGGCCTATGCGAACTACGCGGAATGGTTTTTTCCCTGTGGAAGAGACTATATACGCAGGGATACTCTCGCTGTTCAACTGACTACGCGGACTACGCGGCACACCTGGCCTACACAACCTTCTACGCAATATGTCTTATGAAACATGCAAACTACGCAGACTACGTGGAAGATAACCTACATGCGACTACGCGAGACTACGCCCTGCAGGCCCGAGGCTGCGTGAGCACTCTTGCAGTTTCACGGCCATCATAGCTCTCTCATTCAGATAAAAATGCTGCTCAACTGTGCGTTGAGGTAAAAATCCAAATGCATCTGCTTGCTTCTCAATACTGAGCTTATATTTGCAGACCCTCAGCGGATCTTCCTGCAGCTTAGTTGCTCAGCAAAGGCCTCGCCACAAAGATCCCAAGGAAGCCAGACGCCACAACCTGTGTAAAGTGTGTCATGCATTTACACTGGCCGCTACTGTGCCGGCTGGTTCTTGCAGCAGCTGTTCAGACCGTTGCTGTGAGGATTGACCATAAGTCAATAAGGGGCTTTGCTGCCGAGGTGCCATAGCCACTGTCAGCGGGGCTGAAGAATGCAGCGAATTCGAGACCTCATGACTTGGGCAAATGATACCAGAGAACGGCACTGTAAGCAATGCCAACCCCTGGCTGAGGGTACCAACCGCTAGCGCCAACGGTGCTGTGCAGTACCGTGACACAGACCTTCGTGCGCAATGACTGCTACATGTTGCAAATCCTGGCACTGCGTGGGTGTAGCCGCCGCTGGGTTTACTGATTGCTCAGCACGGAAGCGGCGGTTAAGTTCCCCACGATGCAGCTAAATCCTGTCCAATGCGGAAATTGCACAAAAGCTGCAGGCACATCCCCACACAATGCGTCATCCGATCAGCCCGCCATAACTTCAAGCCAAGTCTGTTGCAAGCGCCTTCGGCAAACGCAGGATGCGCGCCATCAAGGCTGTTCCAAACAAGCCGAAGACCTGCCAGCATGATCGCAGCAACGAATGTTTGGATGCTAGACCAAATCACTGGCAACGAGGGAGCATGACCCGCCGTGCAGCATTGACAAATCTTATTCTCCGTGGCTCCGACTGCCGCAAGCATGGACGTTACAATGATGAGCCTTGAACATCACGAATGAGCTCAACTAGTGCGAGCTCTCATCCCTATGGGCTGCTGGCGCACTGTCGCGTTGCAAGAGCCGTCTGCGTTCGAACCTCGCGCACCAGACTGGTCCCAAACACTAAAACATTGAGTTCCGCTTGGGTAGCTGGCAGGTGCCGTAGCCGTTCATTCCCCGCTGCCGAGCACCCGGCAACAGTAAAGCCAAAGCTATAACCAATGGATTCAGCAGTCTTGACCTGCGATTCAATATGGATTTGGCCCTTGCTGTCTAGAGGTGACAGCTTTCGCTTCGTGAGGAGGAAACATCAATGGGCCAGCCCCTGCGGGAGAGGAGTAGGACACCAAGACCTCAGTGATAAATCCATCCGCACCTAGCCTGCTTGCTAGCCTTTGGGGCCTCAAATCACTAAGAGCGGCACGTCGTGGAAGGAGCGTGTATCATCCTGATGGGCTGCGGTAATATTTAAGCGTGCTGCAAACCTGTCATGAGGATTACAGTATGTTGGGGCCCCCGGAAAACCCCACATGATAGTCTGATAGACAGTTGTTGCATATAATTGCAAGCTCGCAGCCTTGTCTGCCAAAGCTTCCCTTGCGTTATCCAAGCAAATGGGGCAGACGAGGCTGAAGTCAAGCTGACCTGTTTGTTCTGATGCCCTTGTTGCCTGTCATCCCCCACCACCGGAATGCTGCCCTTCAGGTGGATTGCCCCAGATGACAGAAAGGTGCTATGCTGCTATGCGGAGGAGCCAACGCCAATACGACATGCCGCAATGCATGCTGGCCTGCGATGCCCACAGCCCTATTGCCAGCCATGAGCCCAGAACACCTTGAACCACTTTGGGTCAAACAGAGCTTCTTACTGCAGCTTACCCAGAATGGACGTGCAGCAGCTTGCAGTATCAATATTCACAAGGATCACATTCGTGAGCAAGGAAGCGCTTAATGCTACTGAAGCCTGTTGAGTTTGCCGAGATTCAGGGCCTGCAAAGATCGGATGCAGAATCGCCTTCATGGCCGGCGGCGCAGAGTTGCCTGGCAGAATTGTTGGGCCGTGTGCCAAACACCGAGAATATGGCATGGGATGCCTTGCACGGCCTCCCGTGACAGCAAAGGCTAGTCAACAACTTTCTCGTAGCCTGCCATATCCCTTCCCCTGGCGCCTAAAACAAAAGACAGCAAGGATGCACACAGCATGAAGGAAATCTCCACGATCTGAGACCTTTGCGCGTGCAAATGCGTGCATCACCACAATTTGGCTGATAAACCTTCACAACCTCCACCGCTGTAAGAAGCAAAACTGTTTGTTCTGAGCTCAGAGCTCACGGCCTAACTTCAAGCAAAGCAGCGCCTCACATGGGAATGCAGACGTCGCAACATCCCAGATGCAGGATGCTAAGATGGATCCAAAAACTGCCATCAACGCGTGTGGATTTGTTTCTGTTTGTTCAGCCGGGAGCTCGGCTGCTAGCATGATGAGCCCGTAGATCGGCAACCAGCGCCGTTTGAAGGGCCTGCTCTTCAAGTCAGCAACGAACAGGAACGCAAGCGACCCCCACCCAGCCGAACCGCAATAAACACTTCACCATGGCCCGGGGACTCTCAAAAACAAAGCTGAGACGACTACCTAGTTGGACCTGGCTTGATCTTCTGATTTCCGCTTTAGGAGCGCAGCTCAGTTATGATCTGGTTCAATAGGCAAGATTAGCATGATGGGAGGATGTTATTGCGAACCCTGTTCATGAGGCCTGCCAGGTCTCGGATACGCTTCCTTGGACACACACACACACACAGAGACACTTCGGAACGTCTCAGCCGTCCAGGAGCACGTTCCTAAGGAGCCCGCCCTGCCATTTGTCGGGGTCATCCCGGGCAAGGCCTGATTAGGAATTTACATACAGAGCTTGTGAGATGTCGCATTGTGGAAAGAGAAACTGGGTGCCCGACATTGATCACCTCATCCTGCAGCAACGCCAAACAAGGTTACCCCATGTGCACAACATGTGCAACCTCAACATGGGATGCTGCCTGCATTTTTTCGCCAGGCAGCTGAGACGCGATGAATCGTGCAACTACGGCAACCTCAGCCAAGGCAAGTTGTCGCCTCACGATAGACTCAATATGTTCAATAAGCCTCGGTTGAGCGCCCTTACTACTATTGGGCATGGGCAGATGCACTCTACGTGCGGGAAATATGCATTCCAAAATCGATGTTTGTGCCTCGGTGCATGCACTGAGGCTGGGTCGAAACCCATCTGCAGCACACCTCCGCAGGCGATGAGGACTGCAACGCCTCAGAAGCTTCGTTGTCTGAGTTGCATCCGTGTCGTTTGTTGCATCTGCAAATGCTTCTAAACGCTTCCACACATGCCACAGATGCCCTCACAAACAAGCCGCGCACGTAGAAACTCACCACCCGAGATTGGTTCCTGGGACAAGCAAAGCTAGAACAAGATTGTCAACGAGAAGCTACGCGTTAAGAATGGATGTAGAGCGACCAGCCGGATACAGCAGTTTCCATGAAAAGCGGGACCCAAATACTAATATGAACTACGAATATAATCCTTATGTTAGGAACCCCCAAAAGGGACCCCAAATTTTGGTAATTCACAGGCTGGCCTCAACCAGCGGCAATTTCACCTCAGCTTCACCACATGTCTGGCACCGGGGAGCAGGCATAACTTGTTTCACAGTGCTTCGCAACCCCCAGTATTCAACATGTCTCCCGCATTTGTTTGGGCGACTATTATAGCAAACTTACAAGCCCTAAACCCTTTGAGAGCTCCCATAGGACAAGTACCAGGAAAAGTTTTCCATATCCACTCCATTGAATCTCTTCAAGAAATTCACCCCGTGAATCCCCACTGAGCCGCAAAACTTGGAGTATTTTGTATACGCGTACCTACGAAGAAACTTGGATGTATGTACCATGGCTGCTATCCCAGCACAACGTCTAAGGCGTTCGCCAGCGCGGGTGTAAAAAACACGGGAGCCTCAATCGAAACGCAAATGTTCCATGCTCCGGGCGGGAAAGAAAGTCTCCGAGTTTCACCCTGCACAGCGACCACCTACAAGTAGCGATGCGCTGAGAGCCTGGCCCATTTCAAGAGAAATCTGTAACCTGGCTCCAGGAACCTTGGTGTGATGCAGGAGGTATTGATGAGCTCGACTTGCCAAGTTAAACTCTTGTCTCTAAGTTTTCAGCTGAAACAGCGAGTCCGCTGCAGAACCTGGAGTGCGCAAGCCAAAGGCAACCAGAAAATGAGAGTCCAACTTGATGGCTGCCGCAACTCTGGGGGTGTCGCTTATCAGGGGTTCCCATCTCTTTGCAGGATTTTGGGCCACTTTCGGTTCCATGTCCAAGCCTTACATGATCTCCTTTACGCAAATATTGACGACGGTTCAAATGTCTGCGCACACCCTGTGCGGCCCGTGTGTTCGGCTCTCTCACACACTTTGTCGGACACAACCGGCAAGTGGCCATTAGACTTACAGCACTTGCTCTTCCGCAGGTTGTGCACACCGCAACCTCAGTCTTTGCGGCGGTTTTTTGGCAAATCAGTGTCTAACTTACCCCCTCATGATTTACAATTTGAGCCTTCTTCAGTCACCGCTTTGTGCTTTCAAAGCCCTCGCGCGACTACCCAGCCGAGCCCTGACTGCCACAAACTACCACGACATCCGGCAGCCAAACCGCCAAACCTAAACAAAGCAAAAAAAAAAAAAACTGGGGCGGCAGCCGTTGCCAAGATTGTCTAGGCAAAGCAGAACTGCAAATAGTCCGAACATGCCTCCAAAGCGCTGCGAAGACTGTCATCGCCACCCGATATGATTTTGCACCAGTTCACAGAGTTCTGTTCGATGACTAGGCCTTGTACCCACATGATAGGATCCTTACGGGAGGGGTGCTTGAAGGGAGCAGGTGACATAGTGCTGAGTGATGCTCCCCTACCCTCGACTCATTTCACATAGGGATCCTGCTACAAGACCTAGCGAAATGCAACTTCAACTTCGCCTTTAGGAAAAACCAGATACTGATACGGGATGTGGCCGAGAGGCAGTTGTTTAGAGAGAAAAAGAAAACTACTTTGAATCGGGCCAGGTCAGCTGTACGGTTGTTCATACTTCATACAGCCAACGCCTTGGAGCTAATCACTTCTTCCGATTTATCAACCCTCATCCCTGTATAGCACAAATCGAATTGTTGAACATGATTGGGCAAGGGGAATTCTGACTGCGAGAAGTGCTTCCAAACTTATTTGCAGCGTCGAGATCCAGGTACTATAGTTCCGAATGTAACCTCCCACTTGTGACGGAAATGCTCCTGCCTGTAAGGTTAACAGGGTTGGGGATGGGGTTCATCATGAGGATGAAGTAATTAATCTCTGCAGGTGCACCGAGAGCTCCCAACCCCAACGACTCTTCGGAGTATGTGCTGGAAGCATTCAGAAAGCATGGCTGAAATGACCATGCTTGAGTTTCCATGCGCAGGAGGCGTACTGAAAAAATGCCTGCCTAATAACGTTGGCGGCAGCACAGCTCCTGCTCCTGCGAGCAGCAGGCATTCAGAACGTCACGCTTTCTTTTAGCATGTCACAAGACGTGTCAAAATTTTGATGCTCTGGGCATCACGAAATGCTGATAACAAAGCAGTGGCGGAGACACACACAACTTTCCTACCACTGCTCAACGTGCGCCAGAGTGCACCGGTATTGCTGAACTAATCATACGCTCCCCACATGCCACAAAGGCTCCAGTCGCTGCAATGGCATCTTCAAGAAGCACCTGAGACCAAGAACCGGGGTCGTGTCTGTTTTACAAAAACAACAACGAAAGGCCATTCTCGCTTCAGGATCCAAGGAGAGCACAAAGCAAGCAACTGCGAAGAGCCTCCGCACTTTCTCCGTCCTCAGTTGATCACGTGGGAAGATGGTAGTTACGCTGTCCGCGCTTCAAGGAAACCAGGCACAATCACTCGTGCAGCAATCGCTCTTTTCTGTGGCGCGCTTGCGTTACCATCAGAATTCCACGTGTAAGGCCCTGTTGGACAACCTTCCTCCATCTCGCGAAGGAAGTACCTCCGATTCGGTCTACTGATTGATGCAAATGATGCATCCTGGATGCATCCGAATGAGCGAGGCTTGCCTCCCATGAGGTGCCAAGCGCAGAATGTTGGAGCCATTGGCATGGTCAAAGCCATCCAGGAAAGCAACCTTGAGCACTCAAAATGCGAGATGAACAGGGCGGTAGCGATACAGCTTGGCAAATGCAGCCGTGGAAACCTCGCCTCTTCTGGTGCATATAGACTCACCACGAGGTCCCAAAACCTTGTGGATTTGACATGTCGGCTTGCCATGATTTGCCCTCAAACAAACCGAATCAAGCTGCTCAAGCTGGATGTCAAACCAAGAAGCAGCAAAGGGGCTCGAGCATTGCTGTAGATTACAGCACCAAACCTGGATTGGGAAGGTTACTTGTACAGGAGCAAGTTAAGGTGCTGCCAATGAGCTTAACTGCCCTGGCTCAGCTTGGCCCCGAACTTGCGAGCTCTCAGCCAATCTTCCCTGTGAATTCGGAGTCTTGAAGCAAACAAGCGTCAGACATCTGAGTGTGGCCAGGTCGCACTTGGCTGGAATTCAGTTGTATTGCCGGCGCATGAAGCAGCCCAGTTGTGGACATGTCCATCCTGCATGCGACGCGAGCTGCTGCGGAAGGAATTCACTCGCGAATTCAACGTTGAACTTGCCACTGAGTGCCTGCCATGAGCCGCGTACATCTCGGCAAACATGGGGTAGTCTACAACCTCACCACGCGGCACGCAACGCGCAGGCAACTGTTGAGAAGTGCAGTCTACCCAACTCCCAACTTGCCCATGCTCAGGAGCCAACATTTTCTGGCCCAAGAACCCTCCTCAAGCCGTAGAACATGTTTCGAGAAGCGTAGCCTGTATGTTGGCAGCTTCATGAAACGGATGTGGAGAAGAACGTAATGGCACAAGTATGCTTACTCAACTGTGCCTCCAGTGTGGTAACCATCTGGCGGCAGAAGGAAAAGGACCGAGCGACGATGCACCCGCAAATGGCTCAGCAAATATTCTGCCTACGCATGCTGCCACAGCTCGTCTCAAGATCACTGGATAGATCTGGATAGAACCGTGGGGCGCACGAGCTTGGAAGCTGCCAAGCGTTGCTTCGTGTATCGAAGAAGCGGCGCCATTGTCTCCAAGTATTTTCCTGATCTCTTTCTCTTCTTCTACTGGCCACATGGGCGCCCCTGGGGAAACCCATCAGGGCCGTGCCACATGGCCGCACACAAGTACCTGTCTTAAGGTCGCCCCCGCAAGAACCGGAGTAATCATGACTCCCTTTCCACACTGAGCTTCCCGTCAACAAAGGCCTAATAGAAAGAGATCTCTCTCTCTCTCGATCACTGCCTCTCTCTGACTTCATGTGTTCTTCCGTGCAGTCCATGTGCAAGGCGAGACACGTATGCTGAAGGTGGAGGGATCTATCCGTCCTTCATAAACGCCCGGCAAAGTTTTGGCAACACCTAAGAGTCAGTTGTCGGTCGATTCCAAGCTAATATGACAGGCTCCGATGATGCCCCCATGACTCAATGACTTCTTGACGTAGACCAGGGACGGAGTAGGTGCATTGGCAGGAACGCGGCCTTCTTTGCTGGTCTCCTGCTCAAGTTTCGCTCGTTGAGCACTGCTTGACCCCGGCTTCCAGCTTCGAGGGCGTTTAGACATGCTTAGACTAATGCTTTGTCTGGCCTTTTTAGATCCAGGAAGTAGGGCATGGATCCTGCTGCCAGGATCTCGTAATGCCGCAGGCAGTCCCAGCCGCCTTTTGGCCGAGTCAGAGCAAACCATGCCTGCAAAACAGGAGCCGTGAGTACAACGCCATGACCCCTAGACATTGCTGAGAGAACGACAAGCGTCATGGTTGCTGCCCTGCCTGGCGTAAGTTTTCATGGTAGGCCACAGTGTCCTCGCTGATTCTATGGTTGAAACTATAGGTGCGTCTGTCCCCAGGCCATACCAAAGCGTAGTCGAACCTTTTCAGCGGAATACACGGCCTCAGCCAATCTTGTGCCACTGCGAAACACCTCGAACAAGCTGTCCACTGCTGCAAGCTCACTGGAGTTGAGGGCCACCGAGTGGCACTATCAGCTCATCAGCGATGCCAATAGCCTTCTCTCATGAGGAATTCATGATTGATGGCCGCATATTCCCCAGCCACTGTGTGACACGCAAACGAATTCGAAAGGTTTAAGCTAAGCAGCAATCGGGTAGATCTTCAAGCCCGAGGGACATCGTTGCGGTGCGGGCCACGGTGGCAGCTGTGGTGTCTGGTCAAAGAACTCAGAGGTCAGCGCAAAGCACTGAAAAGAGCCTGCCAATATGCTGTGGTGATCTACAGTATGCCTCAGGCTGAAGCACAACGCGTAGGCACTGGTAATTATTTGCCTGAGGCTTGCCCAGCGGCTGGACCTGGTTCTCGCTGCATGGCCGCTGGATGGAAAGGACTCGGCCTGACAAAATCGATCTCCGCTGCAGCAAGCATTGCAGATTATCGCAGGTTTCGGCGGTTGGGCCTTGTACGTGCTGGAGTCACGAAGTTAACGCTTGGCACCTCTGCACCGACCCATGGGAGGGAAAGCTCCCCAATGCTAAAAGCAGGTGCAGCCTGCAACTCAAGGGTTTGTCGGCAGCAGGTTTGGAAGGTCTCACCAGCCGCACCTCTCGAAGGGTTGGCTTGCAAAGACCCAACCCAGACGACAAGCCTGCACCAAAAGTTGCAACCTGGCCGGTCAAAGCAGCCCGGGAGTGTGGACGGCAAGCAGCACTGGTGCCAGCTGCGAGTCTGAGACCAACCTGGGCGCAGAAGCCAGCAGAAAATAATCAAGTCATGCCATTGTGACGCTGCGCTCAGGCACCTGGCACGAAGGGTTTCCAGGATTTGCCATCTGCAGAAGCAGCAACCTCTCAGGCTGCTGGCAACGCATGGAGCGCCGTGGGCCAAGGCTCACAGTGATCACTCCTTGGCTATTTCGGCTTCACTCCAGGATACTCCAGGCACATCACAAGCTGCTAAAAGAAACATGTAACCCAACTATACACAAATTCTGCCGTTTCTTTACTAGCTACGAATATATGTTAATCAATTTTCAGGCATCGCCATTTGCAAGAAAGGCGCGGTTGAAGGCAACTGCCTCGCAAAGCGGATGCCGATGCTATGGAACGCTGCTGCAAGAGAGATCTGTGCTCGCATCTCACATGCCTCCACAGCGTTGTCAAATGCGCCTCTTTGAGACATCCATGCCCTGAGCATGTAAGGCACCGTAGCATAAAATCCACACGCCCAGATCCAAATCCCTGGCCTGTCCACGTGGTAGCGCTGAGGTAATCGACGGCCATTGAGGGAACACCTCTCAGGGCACGGCTTTTGTCCAAGAGCGACATCGATGCGAGGTGTGAGACCATAGTGCTACCTGGCAGCCTATCATTCTTTGTGGAAGGCCCGCCCGGCACGGCAATCTTCACGAAGTGCAGCCCGTTGGGAACCAATATTGACCAGGCCTTCAGGGGTTGCGCATGGTTTGCATCACACATCATGCTCAGAATCTCGGCAAGGCTTCGGGCCACTCCCTGACGGCAAGGCGTGGGCCGCAGTTTGCGCACAGGATAGGCCTGAAGACGAGCTGGTTCAGAATACTGGGCAAACAGTTGGGACTCCACATGAGCTGCAGCCAAACATTTACCATGTGATCAATGGACATGGGTTCCTTTTATTTGGGAATACATTAGGGACTATACTAAACTACCAAAGGAGGGACCCCTGTGTCCACCCTTGATGGTCCCTTGGTAAACCTAACGTTGAGAATAGCTCACATGACATCTCCGGGTGCTGCAAGATCCTGCCAGGCAAGCTAATCTTAGGCCTTAGGCCTGGTCGCGGATGCGCGTCGGAAGTCGCGGACCATGCCTGATGCTGCTGTTGACCAAACCAGGTGACCATCGTTTTGCCCCAGGCTGTTCATTTGAGCACGGCTCATGGTAACTTGAAGGTCTTGCATCATGCGGCGTCTCGTCTTCAACAATCCTTGGGCCTGGAGCAGTGCCACCCAAACGCCACTCCACCAGCGTGGAAGCGGAATGCCTGCTGAACAGCAGTCTGCGAATCTCAGAAGCTCTCAACAGTTCATAGCACGTTCGGCCCTTGCATTTTAGATGTAGGTCTGTCGCTCCCTCTTTAATTCTAGTTGCCCATCACCTCGCCACAGTCATAGATCGTTCGTCTTCCCTCGCCATCGACCTTTGTCAATCACCGAGAGAATGCATCACTGAGGAGCATAAGCCTCAGCACAATGTCATGTCAGAGTTCTTCTTAAAGCCGGGGTGCCAGATGACGACAAGGTCCACGAGCCGAGAACAAGACCTGCACATGCCAAACGGCCGGGCCCGACAGGTACCAGTACATACCGATCTTGCCGGCTGGACGCAACACCTCTGTGGCTGAGACAAATTGGTCTTGCTGGCACTTTTCTTCGCATCAATCGCCCTTTGCCAAATGGCTCGGCGCCGTCCCTGCCGCGCGATTGGAATCTTCATGTTGCCGGAGCGTCCTCCTCGCAAGTACCCCCTCTTGGCTCTCTGGACGACCAGCGTCACGCGAAAGTCTCCTGTCCGGCATGGCTTCCGCAAGTCTGTTATTCGCCTCACATCGTGGAGGCGTTGGGATTTCTACATAGCTCAATCAATTGCCAGCATGTCATGTAGTTTCTGGAGGGTGTCTTGCATTCAGTAAACCAGCAAGCTGCTCAATCATCAGCAAGGAAAGAAAGCCTCAACCCGTCCTCCAGCAACCGCAGCATCTGCAGCAACCGCAGCATCCGCAGCAACCGCAGCATCCGCAGCATCTGTAGCGACCGCGGCATCTTTGCTTTTCGCTGCCCTGCGAGTCCGCTTTTCCGACTTTGGTACGGCAACGTCGAAGACCGCAAGTTTGCGCTTCCCGCTCTCGCGCTTCAGAAGCGCTTCCGCTCTCCTCATTCGAGATCAAATGCGCTGAGTTTAGGAACATTGCATCCGATTCAGCTATCTGGCCAAGCAGCTCAAAGGCCGTTGCTGGATCCTTGGTCATGAGTCGTGACTGCAGCTTTGTTAAATTACAGCACACGTCCGCACTAGGGCTCACTAAGGATTGCACTGCCAACTCGATCAAGGTCAGCGCCTGCCAAAGAGCTTCATGCAGAGCCCCTCATGCTCAGTAATGCACTTGTGCTTCTCTCTGGTTCTGGGCCTCGCCCAATGTAAACCCAAAGTGGTCCATCAAATGCTCTGGCTTGATGCGCGAGCTTCCGAGATTTTCCAGAGATATCTTGGCCCACCGGAACTCTTCGATGAAGACCTTGATCTCCTTGACTGCAAAGGCGGCATCACAAGATCTCGTGCATCCCGGCCTTACATTTGCCTTGGAATTAAACTGCTGCATGGTCGCGTCACGACCGCGCAGGCCCGCAAGCGCTGTCTGAAGCAGCTGCTCAACATCCTTGTCCTGAGTTAACATTAGAAACAGTGACTGTGAGCACGAAGAGGCTCACATTCGTTTACGCACCAACTTGCAGCTCAGTTTCATGAAGTGACTTGAATTTGCCAGAACACGTCGTCTTGGCGGTCTTGGGCTTTCCCTGAACCTCCTGCTTCTTCAGAGTACTGCTGTTGACGAGATGGCCAAACGGATCTTCAACAGACCGCATACGCATTGGAAGATTTGCGATAGGATCCGGAATTATTTTTGGATGGTTTTGCTTTTTCTTATCCTTTTGGCTGGCAAATGTGAGGATGCTCCACGCCAGACTACAGATCTGAGGTTGGAATTTGAAAAGTGTCAACAGTCACAGGGATTGCGGGAATCGGGGCCACGATCCTCGTGACTGTCGACCCTCGGATCCTCTTGGAGTTCGACAAGTGTCAACAAACACATAAAATGAGAGGGTCGGTGTCGCGATCCTTGTAACTGTCCTCGCTGTTGGACCCTTGGATCCTCTTGGGGTTCGGAAAACGTCAACGGTCCCAAGAATTGCGGGGATCGCACCTGAAATTCCGCGCAACTGTCGGTGGCTTTGGGCGTTCGGATCCTCTCGGAATTTGAAAAGCATCGAAAGTCAGAAGGATTGTTGGCGTCGGGGTCGCCATCCTCGTAACTGTCATCGCTTTTGCACCCTCTAATCATCGTGAATTGTTTCAGTACGGGTAGTGCAATTTGCATTTTGGCTCGCGCACAGGCTGCAGATATATTGGCAGCTCGCCTCGAGCTTGCAGATACTGTAAACTCTTCGGAGCTCACCTAGAGCTTGTAGACAGAAGAATTACGGCGTTTAGAGCGCTTAGAGCTTGCAGATACTGCAAGTGACAGCGCCTGGAATTCTTTAGAGCTTGCAGATGCTATACATCACAGCACGCCAGCTCGGAATTTTTGCGGGCTTGCCAACGCATGTTGTCAATCACGGCATTCGGAGCGTCGCAAAGAACGTAAACACAGCAAGTTGCAGCATTTAGATTGATGCTCATTTGCGCAGTTGGATGCCGCAGCGTGCCCTTTGCACACAACATGATCCGCACAATCCTCCCTTACCCCCCTTATGGCACACATGGCGATGACATGGTTTTCTTGTAATACCGTAAGCATTCATGGCTTCAACAAAGCGGGGGGTTGCCCCACTGGCCAAAAAAGATCCGCGCAACCTTGCCCTATTGCAAACATGGTGATGACATGATTGTTTATCGTAAGCATGGATGGCTTCAACAAAGCGGAGGGGCTGGGCAGGCGCAGCCCACTTGCAAACAAAATGACCCGCACAACGCTACGTTACTGCAAACGCAGGAAGCAACACGCATAAAGCAAAAAAACAAAGCATATAGCCGCAGCACAAATCACAAAGCAAACAGTAGAATGCAGGAGGCGAAAAGCAACCACCAGAAGCAGGAAAAGGAGCAAGAAGCTGAAAAAAAGAGGCAGTACCTTTTGAAGAAATCCACAAACCAAAATCTTCGAAAAAACTTCTTTGTCATGGCATGAGTGGCGGCATCTCATCATCCTTGTGAGAGCAATGCCGCTAAACATTCTTGATCCTACACTTACGAGCCCAACCGCTCGTCGTCTATGATGGAGTCTTGTGAGCCCTACCGACCTGAAGCATCTCACACGAGAAGTATGACGTTAATGCATTCTGAATCACATTGCAGAGGGCTGATGTATGCTGAGATCCGCTTCATAAGCACTGTCCTCCTCCTCTTCGGCTGCTGCTTTTGCAGGCGCCTGCTCGTCTTACAATGCCACAACGGATGCCGCCGTCAAAGGAACATGCGCGATTCAGCTTTTATGGTCAGCCGCCGTCATCATAGCCTGGGGTAGCTTGACGAGGTCCTCATCCTCCTTTCAGACATACTGGTGACTGGTGCTGCCCCTGTCCTACTCCCTACCGCCTAGGAACCTGAAATTCGTGGCCTCTGACT